AAATTGAGGCAAAGTGTATACCGAACAGTGTCGAGAAATGTTTCAAATTGAGGCAAAATGTATACCTTATATTAAAGGTGAACTAATGCAATAGGCTTCGATTCCTTGATGGGGAAATCTAGCTATAGGAAACTTTTAGCAATGAGGCACAGATGTAATGACTCAAGCAAACACCATTGGGAGGCTTCTAGTTTTCTCGCAGTGTGGCTATCTGCCTCCCCTGTATGCACTCATTGCCGCCTTAATTGCCCGGTGAAAATGTGCAGCAACTGCAGTTGGGGCTACAAAACACTGCAACACTAAGCCGCTCTACTCTAATTACCCCCAAATCTCTTGGCCGTCGATGCGATGCCTCTTGATCATCTCCGATCCCTTTCTGTGAGGTTTTTGAAAGATGCCGCCTGGGTGCGCTGGGCGAGCAAGTGAAATTCAAGTGAAATTAATCAAATTTGTTTCGAATTTAGGCTGAGACGTGGTGCGATTTGTGTGCTGCTGGCTGGGGTGTAATTAGATTGTGGGCAAGATTGTTCAGCAAGTGAAATTTTAGGCATAATTAATCTAGTCTAGTCTACAGCCGCTGCAATCAAGCAATTGGAAACAAACTATTTGTTACCTAAGTAACTTAAATTAATATTTATCTATTTATTCTGAGTCAAAGCTATTAGTGAAATTACTATTCAGACAGCTTCGCATATAAAGTCCCACGGATACTGATAGCCAAATAAATTTTTAGCAATAACAATTCATCAAAAAACGCCCATTCAATGCCGCAATTCGCTGAATGGCGAGGCCTTTCTTCTGCCGTTCGAAACTCAATTTCAATTTGCTGCCAACTCCCTCCGCGGCCAATTGACAGCTTCTTGGGCCAAGCACCTTGGCGAAACTTGGGTCAATTGGTTGCCATAAATCTTCATAGAACATTGTTGACTGCCGGCGACAGTGCGAAATAAAAAAAATACGAATTTCATTACAACCGCGCGGTTCTCTCCCTTGCTATTTCAAATTATAGAAATGTAATAAATCAAAATCTCGTTAACTCGGTGCGACGTTCAAATTTGTTTCAGGTTAAAGTCGGTGGGCAAAGGAATCGAAATCGGAATCTATTCTAATTAAATAGGTTTACTCGAATGGAATCGACGGATGGCTGGCTGGCTGATTAATGCCGTGGTGCAAGATAATGACAAGACAACACCCAGAAAACCACCCAATGGATACCAATGTGGTATGGGATATGCGAATCTCGATCAACTGCGTCCAGTCGTGTGTGCAACAGCAACAGCAGCAGCTTGTTCCCTGGCTGTGTTGCATGCAACCGATGATTAAAACGGGGCAGGCCCCAAACTCTTAATTCTTGGCCATTTTCACTGAAATTGTTAAATATAATTTGCAAAGAAATTCTTTCTTTCCTCCGGCCTGACTGCCAATTACTACGTTTCTCTTGTTCAATTTGTTTTCTTTTTGCACTATATATATATATATTTTCTTGCTTTCATTGTGATTTTTTCTATGCTGCGGCATTTCAAGCGCGACTTCATTTAACTGTGCTTTGCATGATTATTGCTCCAGTTATCAGCTCAACGACAACAACGGCAACAGCATGAGCATGAGCATGAAGAACGGCTTCTGGGACGGCGGCCTAGCAACTTTATGTGCAACAAACTGCGGCATGCTACAAGTAAGGCCCATGGATTGGGCGTGTGCAAAAGCAACAAGAAGGTGCAGCTGGGCAGATCGCTTCTAGGATGCAAAAAGCACAGCAGTTACTCATAAGATATTCACAATCATAATACTTAGGTACTGCAAAAAATATGAAATGCGTAATGCAAGCCTGGCTTACAACTAAGTACAAAGTGAAGTAGTATGAACTGTTTGGATATGGATCAAACGTTACTTATTTAGTTTAAGGTTGATGTTTGAGTGCAATTATATTTATTTTAAAACATACTTGCATCGTATTATACATTAGTAATACCGTTCATCCAGTTGATAGAAATAAATTTACATTTTATGTGTAACCTGGCAGGCTCACAACTCTTAAGCTGAAGCTACTAACAAGTTGATTCGAAACTAAAGTTCCTCTGAAATGTTAAATGTCTTGTCTTGATTTGCGAAGTTTATCCGCACTTATTTTAAAAATGTGCCCCAGTTCACCGCCACACCCAGCTGCAATCAAAATCGTAGACATTCGAGCACTTAATTAAATTTACATTGCCGCAAACGTACTTCACCCGAGCCATGCCCAACTTAAAAGGGGGGGACCATTCGGGATTTTACATTTTAGATTTTTTCGCCGGACCATTTGAGGGAAACTCGGGCTCACCTGCTGCTCGTTATCTTCAGTATTTATGTCATCGTTAAATTTGGCTTCCAGCTGCTTTTACCTGGACTCGAAACAAGTGCTTCTCTGCTCGTGTCGCTGGCATAGGTGTGGCACAAAATATTTAAACACAGCATAAAAATTAAAAACTAGTCTAATCACAGGCCCGAGCCAGATCCAAGTGTGTAGTATGGGGGCTGGGAAAAGGCCTCAACCGAGATCATTCACCGTAGGCCACGGGATCTGATATCTGAAGGAAGGGATAAATTTTAACTTAATGGCGATTCAAAAGCCATGAAAGGATCCACGCGGAGAAGTTTCAAGAGAAAGGCTGAAAGCCGAATCCGAAGAAGTGTTTTTTACGCATTGATTTATTTACATCCATTTCGATGACTTGTCTTGAATCTGTTTATGTGCCAGTAGATTTGCAATTACCAATGAACTTCGTCGTTTAGAGTCACTTGGGAAAATTCCAAACATTTTGACGAAAGTCGAGAGACTCATTCATACATATAAACTAGAGTTTTCCTATACCTTCCATCTCTGTAAATTTAAATATATATATAGTTATTGTATATTTTTAGAGCCAAAATATAGGTCATTATTTCACTTCCCACGATAGTCAAAATCCGACTGGCAAAGGCAAGTCCGTAAAATGGACCATGTGCCATTTATGGAGGGGCCATGGAAATCTGACTTGCGATTAAGACTTCAAATGAATACTAATCCCTGCTTTGGGATAAGGTTTGCCAACGCTTCCAACTCTCAAACTATCGCACCGGCAACAGGTGTAAATGATTCCGGGCCAGGAACATGACGTCGTTGCCCCCTTTTTCACCTGACCAGTGCGTTCTGAGCAAACTCAAGTGGTTTTCCTCAAGAAACTGGTTGCATTGCCGAGTCTTAGTACGTCGTATTAAGTTTAATTTGCATGGCGAACTGAAAATGAAAAATGAAAGAAAAAAAAAACAAAAATAAGAAAAAAAAATGGAAATACTTTTAAAAGACCCCCAGGCGCCAGCGACTTGACACATTTCTGCGGGCCATGAGAATGAACTTTTTGCGAAATGCTTTTTGCGATGCAAAATGCTTTTCCAATAGTTGACCCAATTGCCCAAGAGACAGAGGCAGAAGAAAGGGCGACCCCGCGGATTGACATCAATCATTGCACTATGAGACATCATTCTAAACGTCATCCTCCTTCAGCCTCCTTTAGTCCCAGCTGGGTCAATTAGAAATGACTTGGCAGCTTTTGGGTTAAAGTGCCAGTGCCAGTGCCACTGCCAAGTACAAGTTACTGGGTTAGGGAGAGCCCAGCAGCTCGATAGAAAAGAAAATCTGTAGCTAAACGACAATCGATTAGGGTCAGCCTTCGTTTTTGCCTGGAAAGTTGGCCCAGTGGCACGCCCAGCAAGTGGCGCCCATGAACAACTGCAGTTGGTAGCCAAGCGTAGCCCAAAAATAATTTCACACCGAAAAATTGAGATCAAAGAAAAATTCCTTTGTCATGCTGCTAACTTCAACTTCTGGTAAGATTTGTGGATTTTTGTAATTGTTATGTTCAGCCCTGCCACATATGGTTGCATATCACAAGGAATGCAAATAATTTGAGACGCGTTGGGAAAACATTTCATGCGCGAGTTCAGTGGGCCAAGGAGTAAACAAGGCTTGGTCAAGTGGCTAGTGGTTGCGATTTGCATGACCAGTCGATTGCGATAGGTGTGCGTGAGGCGATCCCCAATCCGCAATGCCCGAATCGAACCTAGTGGATACCGCAATGAGGAGGATCGAAACTGGAACACTTCAATGTGCCAGAGCAATTACTGCCGCAGTTCCAGCTACTCAGTTTCCCAGTCATGCAAGCGATTTTTCCGGTGGGCATGGGTATCAGGTGCACCAGAGGATCGGAGGGAAATGGATTTTCTTTCGGTTGGGTTGCGTTGTCTGTGACTCCCATCGCTGGCTGTACTGGCTTAGTAGCTGGCCCAGTGAGCCAATTGATCATTTGACCGTGGAATTTACATACAGTCCATGGCGGTTATCACTTTTTGTGGTTTTGCCAATGATTGCTAAAGGCAAAGAAATTTTCCAACCGTCTGTGGGGCGCACTTGAGGCGCCTGTTCGTTCAGTCGCCCTACCAATGTAATTGTTCAGAGAAATGTCTATGTGGTATTAAATCTACTTTATGCCTAAAATGTTATATTTCGAACGACATAAGCGAATGAACTGTAGCACCACCTACCGGAAGTCAATTGAAACTGAGCGCTTTAAAAGCTCTGGTACGCACGACATCTCTTGGCAAATATATTAAAGCTTTTAAGTCGATGTACACTAAAGTGCTGCATACTTTTGGGGGTAAACGATAAATTCGGATGGTTTCGCCCTCTAGCGGATGGCAACTTAAATGTGACTTGCAGCAGCGACATCTATGGGGGTATGCCAAAACTATTTCAAATTTAGAATATTTTATGTTTTCTACTACTCTACTACTGAACATTTACTGAACATACTACTGAATTTTTAAATTTATTTTGTTGATTTATATTTAAGATCTGCCTATTAGTATTCGCTTGCCACTACATACAGTCTATATCCTGATAGGCGAGCATTGAACTGTGTCACTGAGATCGCGAAGCTCTGATTAAGTGCTTTATTCTGCCATTCGATGGAATGTGAAGTCAGTCTTTATTCAGCATCACTTGTGAGTAAACAGTTTCCAGCGCTTACAAGTATCGGATTCAATCTAGTAGATTTGGAACGAAAACAATGTATATTTATACATTTATCGTGCTTATAATACCTTTCCTTGTTACAATGTCTGCAGGGGATTTAGGGCAAGTGGAAGAACAACAGGTAATTGATATTCCATTTATACATTAATGGAACAAATGTGGGAATGAACGCTAGGCCGGAGTGTCTCGACTGTAAGATACCCGTTATTAACATAAAGAAAGTTTAAGGTACTTGAGGAAAAAGAATAGAGAACAAATAACTATATTCTACATTCCCTGTTTATTTTCATGAATTGTGGCATATCTCATGTTGTTTTCCAGTCTTGCGCTTTACCAGACGATCAAGAAGATAAATGTAGTACCATTTGCTATCCAACTATAAAGCCCTTGTTAAAGCATGTGGCATTGTGCAATCAAAATAATGAAATAATTTTAAAACTTCAAGGAAAAATTCGCGAACAGGAGATTGAAATAAACAGATTGAAGATTAACAACGAGCAACTTAATTCTCAATTGCGGGAAGCCACAGTATCTGCTAATTGGATGGATCAACTCAAAGAAGCTCTCGACCATAATCGAAATATTATGAGTGAGATCAATAAGAAGATTATTAAGGCGGACGATCTTATCAGCCATAGTAAACTTAAAGAAATTGCAAATGAAACGGAAGGTTTCCAAGTCAACTGCTCGGCGGAGGATCAGGATTTGCCCAGCAACTGTTTGGGTTTTGAGAATGGAGAGGGTATAAGGCAAATCAAAGTGCCTGGAGCCAAAAAGTTTTATGTAATGTGCGATTCGAAAACTGCTGGACCCGGTTGGACAGTCGTTCTACGCAATTTAGGTAATGAAAATTTCAACCGTAACTGGACGAGCTATAAGAATGGATTTGGTTCCATGGACTCGTCCTTTTTTGTAGGACTAAGCCGCCTGCATTTAATGACTCAATCGCAGCCCCATGAATTGTTCATTGCGATATATTTCAAACACCCACTACACTCGCAATTCACAAATTCTTTTGATAATTTCATCGTCGGCGGCGCGTCTCAAGGTTATAGGCTTGAGTCGATTGGCAATCCTACGTCCAGCCATTTTCCCTTTATTCAAAGTCAAGTTAAAGCCAAATTTACAACCTTTGATTCGAACAATGCTGGAACTAAAATCAATTATGCTAGAGGAACAGCCGGTTGGTGGTTCACGGCAGGAAATAAACAAAGGTAGGAGATGATTATATTCTTGCATTTCTATTCATTTGAATTGAACTTTTTTTACAGCTTAACACAATGGCAAATAGGATATGAAAAAACTCTGATGCTAATTCGACCTAAAATGTACCTGTAAAATTGTGCAAAGACTCAAAAGCATTAAGGAATACATTTTAAAAGTTTGTGACTTTATTGTATTATACTTGAGGAAATGTTTTTTGATAATACTTTTTATACTCAAACATATACATGCCTTCAAAAGATACAGGGACATTGGATTTTTCTTTCCTTTTCAAGGTTATGGTGTAAAGTAATAGCTTCAAAAGAATTGTTTTTGTTGATGTTAATGTACGCTTAAGCAATTATACATCGACATTAAGAAGCATGCCAAATTGTAAAAGTTAATTTATCAAGTGCTACCCTAACGAATGGAAATGCCCAAGAATGCTTGCAAGTGCGTACATAGATACTTATCAAACATGCCCCCATTTGCTGGGCTAAGTGAGGCGAATAATTCATGTCAATATGAAAACTCATTTACCTGCGGTTACCTCAGTCTCTCCCATCAAAAAGCTTGTGACGCAAAAACCTAACTAAGAAGTAGATCAAACGAGGATGTGGAGCTGAAATCCAAGGGTGGCGGGTGCATGGCAATTCTAAGGCCAATTGAGGAAAATGCGTTCAAGCGCAATGCCGCTTATGCGAGTAAGCCATCGTTGACAACCCAGCGTGGCGACTGGGAAACGAATGTTTCGAAATCTCGATTTGAAATATGCAGAAGTTTTTGTCTCAACTTGCCACAGATAGGCAATGCCAACAATGAAGGAAGCGGTTTTAATTACTTTCCCCCAGTCATTCATTCATTTCCACTTGTTGCCCATCAGTTAAAAGTCAAAAGAGGAAACTCACCAAATGGTAATTCCATTTCCATTTCGGACATTTCACGCTTGAAAGGATTTTATCCGACACCGACCGCCGAAACTGAAACCGAAACTGAAACTGATGTCTATCGTCCTGTGGCCATTACAACTTATTGCCACTACTGCGGCCAACTTAATACACCAAATTAACTTTTTCGTGCGGGGTTGGGGGTATTCCTTGGGCCGCTGCCACGCCCCCCTACCAACACCGCCCACTCGTAAAGCAAGGACGGGTTTATCTGCCGGTTATCTCGCCCTTTGTTGATTAATAGCTTTGCGGTAATTAATTTGCCATGAATGAGGTGCATTTGTATAGAACGAGATGGATTGGCATGGAAATGAATGCGAACGGTGAGGTGCGCTCATGGATGTCAATGTGATTATTATTTAAATCAAAAGGATGTTTGGTGCGTATTTGATCTAATGAGATATGATTTACCGTGTGTTAATACTCTTTACGTTGATGTATTAAAAAATTGTAGTGGCGTAAATTTATGAGGCCATTGATAAGCCGAGATGACTGTGAAATGAATAATTTGGTTAAAATATAAATACACTGCTGAGGTTGAGTCGGCAATTACTTCAACCTAGCTGCCTTTCGCAAATCAGTTATTTGAAACAAGCTTAAGATAAGGATGTTTATCCCGGAATATATTCAGCCGATAGTCCTTCATCCTTGGCAGAGTCCTTGCATTACCTGAAACTTTTCTCATTATATCCGCACTTGCACAGCGACAAACAGCAACTTTCTGCTCGCCCACAGCTTCAGGTTTTACCAATGACTTCCGTCATCGCCGACACACTCAAAGTGTAAATTTGCATTTGCTTCTAATTACGAGCGGGAACAAGAAATTTTCCCAGTCCTTCTCTGGCCTAGAAGGCCCGCATTTGCAGCATTCGCAGCATTCGAAGCATCCTAGTATTCGAGCATCCTAGTATTCAAGCAACCGAGCATCCGAGCATTGGAGCATCTTGGCAAGTCGGAAACTTGGCATCTGCAAATGGAGGAGCACTTGCGGCAATTGCAATTTAGAAATTCAATTATATTTATATTTTTTATGGGGTTTTAGGGCACCTAGGTGGAAAATGCCCGCACACACGGCAGCGCTGGCTGGGAAACTACAACTCAAGTGCCACGCACGCAAATTTCCTTTAATTAAAACCAAACTTTTAAGAGCGCCCCTCGTCTGCTCCTCTCCACGTTCCTCGGCCGCAGATGCATCTTCACTTGGTTACCCAACTGCAAACTACTCGGTCTCAACTCGGCTCAACTTAAGCGAATCCAAGGCGACATAATCTTCGAGTGAGGCCTAAAGTACGGGCCGCTTTTGTTGGTCGCAGGGCGAAGGGATTACAGGCCAAAGTTTGCTCAGGTGAAGAAATACAATTAGCGAGTGGGACGGGACTTGCAATGGGGGCTTGCAAATGAAGTACCAAAATTCATTTTAAAATGCCTTGTCCCTGAATTACAACGAGACTGGCATGCTACTTTTTCAAATTCAAATTGCACGCTTAAGGACATGCATTTTTGCAAATGAAGCTGCGAAATGATTAAGTTGCAAAGGTTAGTGCAAGTAAAAAGCAAGTAATACTACAAACTATCGGTTTATGTTGACAATTTACGAGTATAACTATCCAACGTCTACGAAGGATAGTATCATGATAATCGCATACAAAATGCATAATTAATATTAATATCCCTTTTCGTCATTAATCATTTAGCAATTTAAATGTGTTTTGATGCGCCTGTGCCTGAAATTAGCTGGATGTAGCTGGCATTTCGGTATGACACTCCTGATTGGGGTTATGAATGTTAAGTCAAAGCCTACAAAATCTCTTCCAAAATCATCTTCTTTCGAAATGGCGCCGCACAAACATCCATCAAGAACTAAAATTCAGTTTTCTTCGCGTTCCAGCCGGAAGTGCACTTAGTGAAAAAAAAGAAAACACGGTAAGGGAAAAATAGGGCCAAAAGGCAGGAAAGAAAACTTCGCCGCCCCAAAAGAAACGATGCGAGTGCAGTGGGAAACTTTTCTAAACCATATTAAAACATATTTGCGCAAAAATATGCAGATGCCCGCAGAGTGCAAGGAAGTTTTCACGAATATATGTGTATGTACATACCATATCTAATATATCTATATATGGCCAGGTGGCGGTGGTGCGTTGCCAGTCAATTGCTCATTGACTTGGCTCAAAAATTGTTGAGTGTCGAGTTCTAAGTCTTAAGCCGCTGCTAACATGTTGGCGAAAGTTGCCCGGCACCAGATACGAAAGAGCCGACATCTTCCATTTCTTTCGGGTTTAGTTTCTAGTTGAGTTCACGTGAGCTTGGATTTCAAGCTGTGCGCGCACATAAGTTTGCGGCTTAAGCATGTGAAATTCATATGGATGGAAATGGCAACACCCACATGCCGCCCCACCTATGCACCTGCAGGTGGGGCATAAGATACTGCCAAGGCTAATGCATTGCTAGCCACCCAAATAACCTAAGACATTGCGTCGACGGGGTGCCGAAAAAGTCAAGCCAAGTTACTGCAGCCAAAAGTTTAAAATTAAACGTAGCTATATCCGAAAGACCCACTTGGCTGTGGGGCCGATACTTGCGTATTACCGAACTAGGTAAGTATGAAGTGTGTAATTTAGAAATAATTAAGGATTGCAACAAATTTGTTTAGGCAATCAAGTTTCAAATTAATGCCAAAACGAAGTTTTCTGGGGCACACGAACATCCTTAAGTAAACAAATCTCAGTAGTCCATTAACAATTAAAAACCTCTGTATTAGCTATTGCAAACAAATGCTAGTACCAAAAAATATATGTTTAAAATTTTCCGTTTTGCTATATCTTTTGTAATAGCTCGCAACAATACCAACCTAACGAAAATCAAAAAGTTAATGTAGTCAACAGTTTGTTGTTTACCTATCGGGCAAGCAAATATTCTATTATAAATTCAGCTTGATTAAAGTTGAAAAGAGCAAAGAATCTCCCGAAAATTTGCGTTGTAAGCAAGAGGCTAATTATGTTTATGCAAAGTGTTTTTCGGACTTGGAACCTAATGGAATATAATTTGAACAAAATTATTGAAAATTGGCGGTAATTGAAATGAATTTGAACAAATTTCAGTGCACGGTGTCGTGTGTTTGGGTGTCGTGTTGTGCCACCATCAAAGGAGTCAAAGAGCGTTGAATGTTGAATGTTGCAACTTTGACACGCGACGCAGACGTTGCCCCAGAGGGTTTTCCCCGGAGCTCAGCAATTTGAAGGGCCTACGGCTCCCGAAAAGGGTTCATTAGACATTTTACCCAAATTACTGCACATTTCCAAAAAGCAACTGCTCTATGATTAGGTTTGAAGCGGTGGCTTATTTGAAGTAGTTACTACTACTGCTGCGCGAGGGTTTACATTGATTTAAGTTCGCGTTGCAAGTCACTTGAACATTAAGCGGATAAAGGCACTGTTGCCCTCACTGAACGGCTTACTTACCAACCGGGAAGAGGGACTTGTGCGCGACTAAACACAAATTCGATGAAATAAAAATAAATTAGCTGCTTTAAATGAGCCAAATAAATTCATTTAGGGCTTTATGTGCTCCACTGAAGTGCGCCAAAAGGCACCGTCTTCGTCTTCGCTGGCTTTCGCAACACCCTCTTTTTTCGGTTGGCAGGGTTAAGAGCCAAGTTGAAGGCAACACGTATTGCCAAACTCGATTGCCGCTGGCGCCGCACACCAAATGCAATTTCACTTCACCCTCGTCGCGGTACAGAAAAATGTCCAGGGTCTCCGGTCGCCAGTATTCCCATTCGCTGCAGGTGATTCCCCATCGAGAGACACTTATCTATTGAGTGAGCTTGGCTTGGCTCCATTCGGACTGCCATGGAGGTGAACGCCAACGAAATAGGAAAACAACCAAGTTTCTTTTGATTACGTCAATGGAGTTTGTTGAGTCTTAACAAAATGTAACCGAATTGATAAAAATATGGCTGTTGTAGGTGCTCATTTGCATTTACTTTTGCCCGGTTACAAAAGCGCCAATTGGAAGGGGGTGATTTTCAAATGTCCAGCTCAGTAAATCTCAATAATTATATATACACGTCACACGAAACACGTGTAACGCATTTGTATGTTTCTTGGTAAACATGGGGTTAAGGAAGCAATTTGTTTTGAGCAACCACAAACAAAGGCCTCAAGAACGTCAAGTAGCAGCTCTAGATTGGTTTCAATATATTGATTCTTGGAACCGTGCCTCTACAAACTGAGTAGCTTATTCGTAAATTCCAAAAAAATTTTATTTAAATATAAAATCTATTAAAATTAAAATCAAAAGCCACGCACCTGGCGCCTGCTCCTCTAAAGAGAAGAAAAAACAGCGGAAACCGGTCAATAACCACAACAAATTCAAAACCGGATTGAAAGAGAAACGCTAGTCAGCTGTGAGGAAAGCCCCTACGTCTGGTCCAATGTCTGGGACAAGTTTTTATTTCAGTGCGGGTAAAGAACCTCCGAAACTCAAACATTATATGATATCGAAAAATCGTATAAATAGGGAAAGACCCGACAGAAAGGGCACAGTATCGAGTGCAACATCGAAGCATCCTCATCTTCTGGGATATTTAGTACAAATCGAATTCAGTTTAACATGAAATTCTTGGTAAGTTCGGCTTCCGGAGCTACACCTCGTGGGGATATAGGATTGTATAATATGAAACGAACCTTCAGGTGATCGTTTTTGTGGCCCTCATCGCCTTTGCTAACGCGCTGCCTCAATTTGGCGGATTCGGCGGATACGGCGGATACGGCGGATTCGGCGGATTCGGTGGCCAGCAGCAGCAGCAAGAAGGATTTGGAGGATTCGGAGGATTCGGACAGCAACAGCAGCAGGAAAGCTTGGGAGGATTTGGAGGACTCGAGCAGCAGCAGCAGCAGCAATCAATCTTCTTCTAAGCATATTATTTTAGTACGACACCTAGGAACTAAAATAAATTATTTCATCTTTTAAAATATTAGTATGAAACTCTAAAACTGCTTTGTTTTTTCTGCCAAAAACTCGCAATTAACATTTTAACAATGTTTTATTGCAGAACGTTAGATCGACACATCATGATATTTCGTTTGCTTATAGATACGTATGAAAACATTAAAAAATTCATTTATTTAGCCTCGAGTTGCAGTTGTTAAACACCACCAGGAAACAGGTGGCTAATTGAAACTCACTTTATGGGTTAATGACATATGTTTGTTGGCATTTTGGGAAGTAATCGTGTGCTATAAGAACATTATTTGCAAACACTTGAGTAATTTAGCAAAAAATGTTAGGATAAAAACCAGACCTACTGACAGATGGTGACTCATTCAAAATTGCGAAACAGGTAAATGTTCTGACAAAAAACCTAATTTGATTAGCGAAGAGCAAACGCCAAGAAGAGTTGATTGCAAACCTGTATTTTCAGTAGGCCCGTCAGCCCCAGATACTTTAAAACAGAAAACAACAGAAAAATCCCCTATAAACACAAACACAGGGAAGTCCGAGCGTTTGTCCAACCAGTTTGGAATGGGTATGAGTATGAGTCTAATAAAAATTCAGATAAATACTCACAGCCAGCGGCCGAAACGCAAACAGTTGATTTTAGCATTCCGGTGAAATAAGATTGCTGGCTTGAGGTGTAAGGTCCTATGCTCAAAATGAAATTCGTGGTATGTATTGCTGAAAATTCACCTTGTAGAAACTCAGAACTTATATAACTTTAACACGGTAAATAATAACACTTCACTTTCACATCATTTGACCGTAAACATGAAAATAAAAATATTGCCATAAGGTTTTGCAACATTTATCACTAAATTTTCTTAACTATTTGTATAATATTTCCAGATAATCCTACTTGTTGCGTTGTTTGCCCTTGCAACGGCACAGTTTGGTCCGTTTGGCCAAATCATTAGGGGTATCGAACGATTGGAGCAAGGTGGCTTTCAGCAGCAGCAGCAGCAGCAGCAAAGCGGCTTTGGCGGCGGCCAGCAGCAGCAGCAGCAGGAGGAGGGTGTCATCTTCAGAGGTCCTTTCGGCGGCGGAGTGGAGTTCTTCCAGGAGCAACAGCAGCAGCAGCAAGGCGGTGCAGGTCAGCAGCAACAGCAGCAGCAGGAGAACCTATTTAACTTCTTCGGCTGATGCTGCTCCACAAGGAAGACTAGGCATACATACAGTAGACTGAACACCATCTAAAGAACTCAGAGGCAAGCCATCACTTACAGCCATGATCCATAGCGAGTAACTCAACATGAAGAAATATTTTTAAAAATACGCAATTATAAACAAAGACATATTAAAAATACACGATTATAAACAAAGACATATTAAAAATACACGATTATAAACAAAGACATATTAAAAATACACGATTATAAGCAAACAAAGACGTGTTAGAAATACATTAAAAATACACGGTTATAAACCAACAAACCCGTATTAAAAATACATTAAAAAATACACAACTATAAACTAACAAAGACATATTAATCATTTTCTTTACATACACTTGAAGCATTTAATTTAATGGATTTATGGAATAATCACTAAGCTAATCCTAGATTAATAAAGCAATAACGCTTTGTCAAATGGAATTACATGAAATCAAATAAAAGCAATTTGTTTACGAGGCCAAGGAGCAGACAATTTGGATGTGAATTCAGCAATGGCTTTGTGTTTTGTGTCAAAATCGCGATGATGGCCATGGCCAATTGTTATGGCCAAAGTTTTAAGCCAAAAATCGCAAAACTCTAATGAGTGCTATCGTTGAAATCAGAGGAGCGGAGAGCAAGTGAGTGTGGGTGGGTATTTTTGGTTCCTTTATCCGAGAGCACCGAAACACCATCAAAGTCATTAAGCGGAAAACCCTTTTGGCTTCTTTTCCACGCATTTTCATTTCGCCTTGTAATGACTTCATCCCGGCTTCAGAGTCTTTGGGGTTTTGGTTCTTTGGTTTTGTTATTGGAGACAATTTCGAAGCCATCCTGTAGTTGCCTGTCTGGCAAAACAAACGCCAGTCAGCTATACAGCCACCCAAAAAACCCACCCACCCACCAAGAAAGCCAAGAGCACCAACACTCGTAACTACAAAACAACTTTTTAATTGCAATTAAATACGTAACAAGTTTTTAGTTGTAAGTGCGACTACGGAGCACGCAGGGAACTTAGCCGTGGCAGTAGTGCCCATTGGTGCCGGAATATTGTTGTTGTGGGTTACCCTATTCTATATCTATTCCCTGCTATCTGCGGAATGTATATATATATATATATAGATATGTATCTATGAGATTGCCATTGCAGTGTTTGCCTCACTCGCTCTCTGTGTGTATTGCAAAATTGAGTTGTGCGCTTTGGGGTTTTAATTGTTAATTGTTGGCTCAGCGGGCAGCGCTTTTGACGTCGTTGATGACAGTCGACTATGGAGCCAGAACGATGTGGATTGGGTCGTAGGAAAATCGCACTTTGGGGATTATATTGGAGTCGGTGGAAAGTGGGGAAATGGGAGGCGGAATGTGGGGAGAGATGCGAGATTCGGGCAAATCCTCTGCGGAGGAGGCGGAAGAAAAGGATGTTGCGGATTAGGGAATTAAATTGAAACCCCTAATGATTTTCGGGTTAAGCGGGGAAACACACATTTTGCGGCAACTTTTAATCAAATCATCAAGTTCATCGAGGCATACGTACCCAATCATTACCGAAACAGCATTATGACTAAACAATTTAGAAGAAGGTTAAAAGCAGATGGTAAATTTGCTTAATTAAATACTATAAAAGTAATTTCAGATTTGAAAATATTATAGCTGAGCATCGCTAACGCGTTTAGAATCATCCGAAATAACTGAGTTCGGATGGAAGTAGTATTGTTTTATTTATTTGCAATGAATTTATTAACCAAGATTTGTTGGATTCTGTTCAGATACAATCGGTAATCGTATTATGACCATGGAAGCTGAAGTGCACTGCAAATTAGCATTTTCCGTACATTGTTAATATTTGATATGCCATTTAATTTGAATGCAAATTAAGATTTGATGTTGTCGCTCACCCACTTACCTTTTGCATCTAATGGATCTTTATGTGCACCCACTTGGCCGGCGGTTAAGTAATTCCCCCGGAGTCATTTTGTGAGGCCAAGCTGGCCAAGTAACCTCTAAGTGTCTGTTTTTTCTTCACCTGTACCGGGATTCGGTATTCCTTGACTCACTAATTTGGCCGCAATTTACATAAAGGACGCGCGGCCCCAAATGTTGTTAGCCATGGTAATTTTCCGTTTCTTCATCGTTGTTTGTTGTGTATTTCTTGAAGCACCCGCCGAAAAAGAAAGCGTAATTTCTTTTGCCATTCAACTTGATTAAATTAGAGTAAAGGAAGCGAGGCATGGCGACTGTGTACTAATGAGAGGCAGCTGCAGTTTACTGCCCCTACGAGAATATTATCCAACTTGCCACGGCTTCACATCGCCATCTCTGCTCTCCAAACAGTGACAGATGTATGACTTGGCATTTATAGTTTTAAGCCGCAATTTTCAGTGATTTATTTATGCATGAAATGCAAACAAAATCTGAATAATTACCAACAAAAGCCAACTGAACTGACAGTTAGACAGCCAGCCGAAAACAAAGCAAGAAATGCGATACGAACCAAAGCGGCAGGACCGACTATGTGCGCTAAGGATAGACAGGACTACAGGCAGCAACTCTTGAGCTGTCAGAAGGCATCTGTGTGGGAATATTATAATATTTGCAATCTGCAAAATGCTATTCGCCTCGTATTCATATGACGAGAAATGAGCGAGCTCAGACAACAAAGCGGCACCAGTGACATGCCCAAATATGACGGAAGTTGCAGGCCCTTGTTTTGACCATTAAAAGTACTTGATGTGCTTAAAAGACGTTTGAAAAACAACCATTGTATGCGAAGTACAAACTGATGATATAGTCACATCATGTGGGTAGACTTTGATGTCCTCAATGATTTTGAATCTTTAACCAAAGTGGTTGGAAGTTATAATCCCCGTGAAAGTGCTACTCAAAGATACTAGTATTCAATTCTACAATTGATTTAGTTAATTGTAATTTAACTAAAACACTGAGAAGTGATTTATAATTAGTTTAGTGCGTGACATGAATTACAGCACACTTCATTTCCGGCCAAAGATCATTGTGTTGAACTAGTGGCCGCCGGCAATCTAATAACAAAGTTTTGCGCACTTAAACACTTTGGCCTTTTGGCTTCAACTGGATCTGGCCACGCCCTCCTTTCGGGTACCGCCCCTGCGAAGGAAGTGGCCAAAAGAGGAGGAAGAGGAGTAGGAGGAGGCATCCCTATTATACCGCCGACTTTCTATGCCTTTGCAGTGCAGCAGTAAAAATGACTGCACACAGCTGTGCTTCATGGCTGCGATGGCTGGCGAATCTGGAGGAGGCTGCCTCTACTACTGCGGCAGTAAGATTTTATTAGCGGTGGTATTAGCAGCGACAGCAAGCCGGGAACGGAGCCCATCCTGCCACTCACACCCACCACACACCACACACCACCCACCACCCACTTTCCCATGGACCATCTACCGTCATCCACAGTGGTTGGCGTTGCATATTAATGCAGGCATAAAAATATTTACAACTTTTTTATGCAGCAAACATTTTTCGCCACCGCTGCCGACGGGCGTTTTGTTCCTTGGCAAATTTAATATAATTTCTGGTCGTTTAATGAGGGTCATTCAAAAGTGGTCGTCGAGAAAACTTCCATTTTCGCCGAGTAGCCGCCGGGCACAACAAGTGTGCCGGCCATTATGAGTGACCCTCAGTAGGGTGTCGTAAAAATCGCTCAACAACATTATGCAAAATAAGAGATGCGGTCATAAAGTGAAGAGCGAGAGCGAGAGAGAGACAGACAGAGAGAGCACTTGAAGTGCGAATTGGGCCCACTGTACCGGTGATTTGCGGAACGGCATTGTGAGCAGTGAACATTGGATGCCGCATTTTGGAGTCGCCTCCGGTTTTTGTCTTTCGCTTAATCCCAGCGCTGGCTCGCAAATTCCAATGCTGGTTTCTGTCATCCCCAAAAGTTGCTCGGCCCCTCCACAAAAAGGATGCGGGTGTCGTGGCCCATAACCGAAAGGATTATACAAATAAAAATAAAAATACATATATATATATATGTATATAAAGAAGAGGCCGTGGGTGAGGTGTTATAAATTTGGGACAGCAGGTGAAAACAATTTGGTGCATAAAGTTTTCGCTTAGCAGCTCAGCGCGTTGGCGACCCAAGGACCTCGTGCCAGGATATGGCTCTGACTTCTGTTTTGTGGCCCAATGCGGTTTGACACAAAACAGAGCCAACAAAAAGGGGCCTAAATAAGGGAAAATAAAAAATGCCCAAAGAAGAAAAACATCAAGTTCAGGAAAAGGTACCGGGCCAACCGGGCACCCACAAAAATTACTGCCTGGCAGGCATATTTTTGCATTTGCAGAGCTACGATTGTCACGAGGGAAAAAATGGTATGGAAAAGGATAAAGACGGTAGTAATTGTCAGTTGGTATAAGCTTTTCTTAGCCAAAATAGTTGCTGCTTAGCTATAACTATGCATAAGTGATTAATATTCAATATTAAGAGGGAATTTTGTGGTGACTAGTAAAATTTCAGCAATGTATAACGTGTCAAGGGTAACAGCCTACACTCAAGTATTCCAATCAACGGAAGTATAAAAGAATAATCTGTGCTATTACAGCGCCATCTCAGGAATATGCTTTCCTGACAAAGCCTCTAATGCATTTCCCCCTCCACATCCATGGTCAATGCAGCCACTTTAGGTGGCAGAGGAGACCAACCGGCAATGACAGCGATTTCTCATGTTAGACGTGCCTTTTTATGTGGCTCGGAAATTAAAGTAATCATTTTTTATTGCGCGAACAAACAAAGGCATTATACTTTACAGCTCTGGCTAAGAGGGAGAGATGACAAACACAATGCAGAAAGCAGAATGGAGAACGGAGAATGGAGACGACCACAAAATGCACTGAAGGACAATTGAGTGCAGAAATATGGCCAAAAGCCGGAGAGAAACTAGCAAACGGATACGCTGTCCGAACAGGCAAACCAAACTGAAACCATCTAGGAACAACAGCAGCCACTGGCAGTGATGTCGAATCTATACTTTGAAAATAATAACTACTAACTCGCTGCATATACTTAAGCTGATGTCAATGACTTTCGTAGCGGAAGAATCTATGTTTAAATAAATCTTGCAGATTCTACATTGCTATTCTAAATCAGGCGATGCACATTTTAATTTGACTTACAAATAAAATGTATATTATCT